ATCATTCCCAGGCTACATTTTGATTGCCCGGAGCCAACTGTGAGGCTGAGGCTGAGGCAGGCTGAGGCTGAGGCAGGCTGAGGCTGAGGCCGAGGCAGGCTGAGGCCGAGGCTGAGGCTGATGCAGGCTGAGGCTGAGAGGCTGACGCTGAGGCTGAGGCAGGCTGAGGCTGAGGCTGAGGCCGGGGTAAGCTGAGGCTGAGGCTGAGGCAAGCCGAGGCAGGCTGAGGAGGCTGAGGCTGAGGCTGAGGCTGAGGCTGAGGCAGGCTGAGGCTGAGGCTGAGGCTGAGGCTGAGGCTGAGGCTGAGGAGGCAGGCTGAGGCTGAGGCTGAGGCTGAGGCCAGGCTGAGGCTGAGGCTGAGGCTGAGGCCGAGGCTGAAGGCAGACTGAGGCTGAGGCTGAAGCAGGCTGAGGCTGAGGCTGAGGCAGGCTGAGGCTGAGGCTGAGGCAGGCTGAGGCTGAGGCTGAGGCTGAGGCTGAGGCTGAGGCTGAGGCTGAGGCTGAGGCTGAGGCAGGCTGAGGCTGAGGCCGAGGCTGAAGGCAGACTGAGGCTGAGGCTGAAGCAGGCTGAGGCTGAGCTGAGGCTGAGGCAGGCTGAGGAGGCAGGCTGAGGCTGAGGCTGAGGCTGAGGCTGAGGCTGAGGCAGGCTGAGGCAGGCTGAGGCTGAGGCTGAGGCTGAGGCAGGCTGAGGCTGAGGCCGAGGCAGGCTGAGGCTGAGGCCGAGGCAGGCTGAGGCTGAGGCCGAGGCAAGCCGAGGCTGAGGCTGAAGCTGAGGCAGGCTGAGGCTGAGGCTGAGGCTGTGGCTGAGGCAAGCTGCGGCTGAGGCAGGCTGAGGCTGAGGCTGATTCAGGCTGAGGCTGAGGCAGGCTGAGGCTGAGGCTGAGGCTGAGGCTGAGGCAGGCTGAGGCTGAGGCTGAGGCCGAGGCAGGCTGAGGCTGACGCCGAGGCAAGCCGAGGCAGGCTGAGGCTGCGACTGCGAGAACAGCAGAATTCTACCTGGATCCTCACTTAAATCTTGAGGGGAATGCTTCCAAATATGCTTCTACACATCGCTGTTAGGTTGCTTTGCCGGGATAATTTTTTGCATTCAGGCAATTACCTAACAGCGAAGACTGATAGGTTTCTAGTGGGGTCAAAAGAGAGCATCATGACTCCTCAGGGGGGTCGGGGCGGGACCCGGGGCGGGACCCGGCGCGGCTGCCGTCGAAGCCCAAATCGCTTGGGACATCCTCGCAAAATCGTTCTTGGCGCTGCTAGAACTCCATTCCCGGCGTACATTTTGGATGCCCGGAGCCAACTGTAGGCCACTTCCCGGAGCCAACTGTAGGCCACTTCGTGGTCTTCGAGTTCCCAGAACTCCATTCCCGGGCCACATTTTGGATGCCCGGAGCCAACTGTAGGCCACTTCGTGCTCTTCGAGAATTCCCAGAACTCCATTCCTGGGCATGATTTTGAATGCCCGGAGCCAACTGTAGGCCACCTCGTGGTCTTCGAGTTGCCAGAACTCCATTCCTGGGCCACATTTTGAATGCTGAGGCAGGCTGATGCTGCGGCCGAGGGAGGCTGAGGCTGAGCCAGGCTGAGGCTGAGGCCGAGGCTGAAGGCAGACTGAGGCTGAGGCTGAAGCAGACTGAAGCTGAGGCTGAAGCAGACTGAGGCTGAGGCTGAGGCAGGCTGAGGCTGAGGCTGAGGCAGGCTGATGCTGAGGCAGGCTGAGGCTGAGGCTGAGGCTGATGCAGGCTGAGGCTGAGGCAGGCTGAGGCTGAGGCCGAGGCTGAAGGCAGACTGAGGCTGAGGCTGAAGCAGGCTGAGGCTGAGGCTGAGGCAGGCTGAGGCTGAGGCAGGCTGAGGCTGAGGCTGAGGCAGGCTGAGGCTGAGGCTGTGACTGCGACTGCCGTTGCCACTGCGACTGTCATCGCGAATGCGACTACGACTGCGAGAACAGCAGAATTCTACAACTGGATTCTCATCTGAATCTGAAGGGGAATGCTTCCAGATATGCTCCTAAGCATCGCTGTTAGGTTGCTTTGCAGGGATAATTTTACTTGCATGGCGTTCGCCCCGACTGCAGGCCTTATCGTTCCTTAGGTCAAGGCCCCGACTGTACCCACGTCGGTCGTCCCGCGGAAAGCCTGCGTCGTGACCGGGAGCCACGGCGCGCCGGAGGCCAGGGCGGGGCACGAGGGTCTGCGGGACGTGCCCACGCCGCCGCGGCAGAGGCCACGGCACGGCGGCGGCAAGACCCCACCCCTCGCTCGCAGCCTTCGTGCCCAGCCCCGGCGCTCACGTCCTGCACTCAGTGGGCCCTGGAAACGGCAGGGCCGTTTTTCTACCGGTTCCGTTGTGCCGTTTTTGTTGCCGGTTCCGTTTTGCCGTTTCTGTTCCCGGTTCCGACGCCGTTTTTTGACCGGTTCCGGCTCCAGTTCCAATCCTGGAGTTTTTTTTTGCCGATTCCGGTCGCCGTTTCTTGCCAAGGGACATTTTTTGGGAAACGGTGAAAAAACGGCCTTGCCGTTTCCGGGGCCCACTAAGGTCTTGCACGTCCCTCGACAGGAAGAGTATCCAAGAGTAGCAGAAGCACAGTCTGGTGACGATGGTTCGTGTTCTTCGTCGACTATTGTTGCCATGTTTGACAGCTTCTACTTCCAGCAACATCCGCCTGCAGGAGGGCACGCCCGACCTGATGGTAACACCCATCCCCTGCTCGCAGTGTTTGGACCCAACCCCGACGCGAGAGGTGGCCAGCGCTGACCCCGGGTGTTTTCTTCACAAGAAGTCCTTGGACTTGACGTGCGCACGGGAGCAGCGTCCACCCTGCCCTGATTCGGTGCGGGCCTCCATATTCGACGTCGGAGGCCTGCGCAGAAGCAGAGCCCGGGGGAACAGGAGGATATCGACGACGACGACGATGACGACAGCGAGATCGACGACGACGACGACGACGAGACCGACGACTGCGACGACGACGACGACAGCAAAATCGACGACGACGGATCGACGACGACGACGACGACGACGACGACGACGACGACGACGACGATGGATCGACGACGCTGCTGGCGCAGTCGCGCGGGCCTCCACGGCCCGCGCCCAGCGGGGCCAGCAGATCCGCGCGCCGCGCGGCGTTTCGTGGACCACCCCATGGTCGTTTCCCCGCTGCCATCAGGAGCGAAAGAAGGACGTACACGTACATGAATCCACGCTGGTTTCGAGAGTTCGCGTTGAGCGAATGTTCGTACCATGCGGCCGGTCGCGCGGGTCAAGGGGCCATGTTCATGTATATAGCTGGGCGCGTACGTCTTTTGCGGGCTCCCTATGCCAGGAGGCGGCGGGGACCTGGGGCGGGCAGGCAGGATGAGCAGGAGTTTTCTTGCATGTGCACGCTCGTATCGCGCACCGCCGAGCGCGTTCCACCTGCTCGCAGAGTGCCCACTCTCGCACACGTCAGGAGAACAAATGAAAGGCGAGCTTGCTGCGATGTGCCAGATCGCAGAGCCCCCCCTGGGGAGAGCTGGTCCTGGGCAGTGCCCCAGGGCCCAGGGCCCGCTTCGGGGGCCAGCCCGACTCCCCCAGCTCGGCTCCGCCCGAGCACGGATCGACACTGCAGAGCTCGGGCAAGACGGCGGGAGCACGGCCACCGAGCTGACTCCGGAACGTCTTCGCCATCCTCGGAGCGGTTGCGGCCCCGGCGCCGACGCCTCGAAGGCGCGCGGCCGCGGGCCCGTGCGGTTGCGGCTGTCGGCGCCCGCCTCCTCCGACTCGGCTCCATTCGATCTCGAGCGATCCCGAATCCGAGGCGGTTCGACCTGGAATTCCGATCTGGGCTTCGGCTTCGCAACGTTTTGAGGCCGTGCTGGCTTGCCGATCTCCGCCGACTCGGCTCCTCCCGTCTTTGCCGCCGGTGTTGCCGCCGATCCGATTCATGTCGATCGTGGTCACAAGGAAAAGGTGCAGCAAACGCCAAGCCACCGCAGCTCCTGTTCGGACCGCGGGACGGGCCCACGGAGAGGAGCGGGCCAGGCAGGTGGCAAAAGCGGGCCGGGGAGCGAGGAGCCGAGGAGACGGGGAGGCGGAGGGCGAGAGGCCGGTCCACCTTTGTCTTGTGCTCGGCATCGCTCGGACGTGTGTCTCTGTCCTTCGGCGAGGACCCTCGAGGAGCACATCCTCGATCATTTGGCGAAGAAGCCACGCACGAAACCGAAAAAAACACAGGGAATGGACGTCCGACATCGCTCGGACATGTGCATTTTTCCTTCGGCGAGGACCATCGAGGAGCATCCTCGATCCTTTGGCGAAAAAAAGCCACGCACGAGACCGACAAAAAAAACACAGGGAGTGGGCGTCCGAGCGAGGGCGAGCGTGTCGAGGGTGGGCTCTGTTGCCCAGTTGCCCCGCGGGGCGCCGCGCGGGTCGTGCGGGCAGCCGGCCCCCTCGCCCCCCCCTGCTCCTGGCGTCGCTCGGGCGCGTGCACTTGTGCTCGCGGCGAGGGCCAGCGAGGAGCATCCCAGAGCATCTCGCAAGCTCGAGGGAGCGAGGCAGGGGAGCGAGGAGCCGAGGAGCCGAGGAGCCGAGGAGGCGGAGGGGGAGAGGCCGGTCCACCTTTGTCTTGTGTCGATGGTGGGCTCCGTTGCCGTTGCCCCTCGGGGAGCCTCGCGGGTCGTGCCGGCTAAAACGACACGAAGATCGGGACAAAATCGGATCGGGAGAACTCGAAAGCTCCGAGAATCGGCGGGTTTGGAGGATGTATGTGGCGCCGCGGCCGCCCCAGAGCGTTCCGGAACGCTCTGAGAGCGCTCCGGAACGCTCTGGAGCGATTTATCCCGATCCTAGCCCTGTTTTAATTTGTGCTCGCGGCGAGGGCCATCGAGGAGCATCCCAGAGCACCTGGCAAGCTCGACCGCGCACGAAGCGAGGCAGAACATGTACGGGAGATGGCCGCCCGAGCGATGGCAGGCCCCTGCCGCGGGGAGAGAGTCAGAGGCTCGGGGGGGGGGCCGGCAGGGAAGCCTGCGAGTCCGCGCTGGAGACGGCGCCCCTGCCGCCGCGCCGCCGCGAGCTTTGGCCGGGGGGGCGGCCGGCGGGGGGGGGGTCAGGGCAAGATCGGGGCTCGAGGGACGGGGGTCAGTGCAACCCAGGGTCAGTCAGAGCGCCAGGTCTTGCATCAGGGGCAACGATAGGGGGGGCTAGGCATAACGTCAGCTCGTGATTAGCAAAAGGCCACCCACCCACCCCGGGCTGATGAATAGACCCCGCGGGGCGCGATATTTTTTTTAATCACGCGTGCCAGGGGGAAGGAAGAGAGAGGAGGGGGAGGGGGGAGAGGGAGGAGACGAGGAAGAGGAGGAGGAGAGGGAGGAGGAGAGGGAGGAGGAGGAGCAGGAGGAGGAGGAGGAGGAGGAGGAAGGAAAAGGGGGGTTGCAAAGCCTGCTGCGCGCAGCTGCTTTGGGTCGTCCCGCCGAAGGGCCAGTCCTCGACGCATGGCCGCTTTCGGCGCCAAGAGGCGCTTGGAAAATCGGCGACGTGGGCTGCTTGGCAAATCCCCCCGTTGCTGCGCCCCACTTTCGTTCAGCCCGCCTTGCCCGCAGGCCCGCATCGGTTCGACAGAAAGAGGGGCGCCCTGGCTCGCCCTTGCCTCCAAGCACCCCCCTTTGCCCCTCGTTGGCGGCCGGGCGTCGGCGCTAATCACCGGCGCCGTCCCGTGAATTTTCAATCTGGCGGGCGCCACCCCGCGATTCGCCCGAGCAGGGAAATTATGTGTTAAAACACGCGCCCCCCACGGATTTGTCAATCACAAGGTGACATTAGGGGGGGATGCATCGACCCCCAATCGCCCATTGATCGCCGATAGGGGTCCGATAGCCCCAACATGCCCAGGAAGGTGCGGATCCACTGTCGAGTGCCGATCGCCGATCTATCGGCGATGTATCGCCGATTCCAGGTCGATGCATCCCCCCATTGCCAGTGCCCCCCGATCGTTGCACCCCATTGCAGAAACCTGCAGAGCCAGGGTTGCACTGATCAGGGCTCGGGCGCAGGATCCTGCAGGATCTTGGGGGATCCTGCAAGACCCGACGGGCCCCGGCTCGCATTCACCCAGGTCAGCTGATTCCCGGAACACCACCTCGACCCCCATCAGTGGCGTTTGCCAGGCGCCCCTTGGGCGTTTACTGAGCAGCCTGATCCTCTTTGGTGCATCTCAGTTTTCTACGGGTGCTTATTTCTGCCACTCCAGCGGGGGAAGGGGAGTTTGGAGCCGGCCGGGCGTCTGAAGTTCAGTGGGAGCGCGCAAAACATATGTCGAGCAGTGGCGAAGCGCCTTGGCTCGTCTGTCGGTCCACCAAAAAATGATAGAAAACCCTTTCGTGCAAGGCGCGACATGTTATTAGAACGTGTTTGGCTGAGACCGATTTGTTTTTAACACATCGGGTTCACGCTATTAGAACATTGCGTTGTTATTAAAACGGCTTGGGGTTCTAAGTTCATATCGTCGTAGGACGATAGGAATGCCGGGACGGTCGGTCCCTGATCAAATTTGTGCTTCGTCCAGGTACCCTGGGTCTCGACGCTACGCGCGCTGCGCGGTGAGTTCCCGCAGCTGTTGGAGTAGCTGCTGCGTTCAGGGTGCTGTGGGTTCCCCTTCAGGTGCAATGAACCTGATTTTTTTTAGACTCTGGCAAGTTTACTTGCATGGACGGGGGGGGGGGGGCTGAGCCTGAAGCAAGCCCGGGGGGGGGGCGCGGAAATCACGCAAGTCGAAAGGCACTTGCACGCTAGTATTCGCTTGAAGAGGGGCGAGGGGGGGGGGTCGAACGCCATGCAAGTAAACTTGCCTGAATCCAAAAAAACAGGCTCAATTCGCGCGTGGGCTTTCAGGGCTGGGTTCTCGCGGAAGTGTCTTGCGGCCGCGCCCGCACCGCAGCCCAGCACTTGGCTCCAGCCAGCCAGCAGGGAGGTCGAGGTCCGATGCGACTGGCTCGAAGAGGTGCTGCGTGCCCCCGCGGCTGGGGCCTGCTGGGCCCGGCGGGGGCCCGGGGCCCTCCGAGAATGCATGTTCGTGCCGTCGCTTGTTCCCCCAGATTTCGAGGAGGAGGAGGAGGAGGAGGAGGAGGTGCAATCCCGGGGCCCCATTTCTTCGGACCCCATGTGGGGAGCCTCGGACGATCCCCGGGCCCCGATCTCCTCGGGCCCCACCTCCTTCGAGCCCCATCCAGACGGGCCTCTGCGACGCAGTCCTCCTCGAGCCCCGCGGGCCCGCGCCCAGGTGCTCGAAGAGTGCCCTGAGTGCCAGGGCTGCAGCCACGAGGAGGCGCCCCCCGCCTAGGGAGCGCCCGCGCCGCACGCGCGCCGCGCGCGCGCCCGCGCCTGCCCGCCGGCAGGGAGGAGGGCGCCGGCCAGGCCGACAGGAGCCCCGTTTAAATTGCGGCTCTCCTCGGGGAGCACATGATTCTCGGGGGCGGTCAAGAGGGGGGTGACGACGGGGGGGGGGCATATCATGGCGGGGGCCATGAGATCTCCCCAGATTTCATGGCGCCTTTTCTCATTTCAAAAAGTCCACGGCCCCCCCGGGGCCGCGCACATGCCGCCAGCCATGATTTGTGCCCCCTTCTCTTGGACGCCCCCGTCCTGGACGCCCCCGGCCGAATGGGGTCCGAGTGGATGGGGTCGGAGGATCGCGCCGCATCGCGGTTGCATCGGCGATGCGGCTCGATGTGAAGTCCGATGTTCTCCATGCCGACGTCGCCGATGCATCGCCGACGTCGCCGATGCATTGTCGATGCGTCAGTGATGCATCGACGATGCAGAGCGATCCTCCGACCCCATCTGCTCCGACCCCATCTGGGAGGCCCCCAGTGATGGCATAAACAGATGTTCGGAGGGTCATCGTTTTCTTAGTCATTGTTTTGCCGATTGGCGCAGGCCCTCGCACCCCCCTTCTCCCCCCCCAATGGGGTATGTCTTGGCTGTTTTTGGCGCCTGTTTCAAGCAGGTGGAGTCTCCCCCATAGAACGCACTGTTGCAAACAGTCGCATTGAGCAGATGTCCGGAGCCAGACCCCCCCCTCCCCCCCCTTCCGCCCAATGTCGAAACGCCGAATAAGAAAACGTTCACAGGCCCGTGCAGAGCAACTACATTGCCGATGTGTTGCCCAGGCCACGGCTCATAGCATGAGTTTGCTTGGTGCCGGTCTGCTTGTGCGGTGTTCACGGTTTGCCGACCGACGTCTTGTATCGCGATGTGGTTATGTCACCAGTGATGTTCTGCGAGGGCAAAAAAGACTTTCGGAGGTCCGCACGGATTTCCCGGATCGGCGTTGGAGCCCCTTGGCAGCGCTTCCGGCAACGCCCCTGGCTCGCTCCGCGCGCCAGGACAGGGTGTTCAGCGCTGATCCAAGAAAGCAGCGCGGACCGCCACAAGTTGTTGTTTAGTCATTGTTGGTTATTCGATCTCAGGGGAGCAAGGTTACCAGCCTGGACGTATACCGATCCCTATGATTGGCATCACCTGGTCTCGATACCGATCTTCAGGATTCCCGTCTGTTTCTGAGGGCGTATGCCTAAGAGCTTCGTCGCATTTGGGCTTGGCAGGCTTAGGCATAGGGAAAAGACCGAGGCTGGTTACAACAGGTCGTGATACGGCCGGACCGAGGTATCAGGTCGATGTCGCTTCGGGGAGGGCACCAAGTGTTCTTCGTGCTCATGGGATGTTCTTGTGCATTCTGGGGGGAGGTACCCTCGAACGCTCTGGAGTTTGGCCTGCGGAGGGTCTTGTGTTCTTCAAGGACGCTCTTCCATCCCAGGTCCGACCATCTTGGGGGCGCGCACCAAGAAGCCATCTGTTTTTCGCCAGGGTGTCCCGGGTTTCTTCGCTCCTCGCGCTGCGCGGCGACCTCCCGCAGCCGTGGAAGGAGCTGCTGCGTTCAGGGTGCTCCGGGTCTCCCCTTCGGGTGTACCTCGCGCACGGGTTCTCGGGGTTGGGTCTCCTGCGAGGGTTTCTTGCGGCCGCGCCCGCACTGTGCTCGGCATCGCTCGGACGTGTGCACTTTTCTTTCGGCGAGGACCATCGAGGAGCACATCCTTGACCACTTGGCGAAAAAACCACGCACGAAACCGAAAAAAGCACACGGAGTGGACGTCCCAGCGATGGCGAGTGTACGTTCCACGCACTCCATGGCCTGCCCCGGTGCCCTCCTGTTCCGCACGGGCCGCCGAAGCGCGGGCCGCCAGACCTCGGCGGCCCGAGCCTCGGGGGGGAGTGCGCGGGGGCAGCCCTCCCCAGCAGGGCTTCTCGGAGGCCCCCCGGCCTCCCGGGGAGCTTCCCGCGCCTCCTCCGACGACAAAGGCGGCTCCCCCGAAGGCCGGAGGGCTGCTCAGAAGTCCCGCCGCCCTCAGCGAAGGCCTGCCCCCTCTGACTTCCAGACTGGCCTCGCTGCCTCTAGAGACTCCGGAACTCCTGGAACGCCTCCTGGGCAAGTCGGATCATGACATCCGGAGCAGAGAAAGCGGCAGAAAGATACGTGTTCAACGGTCCGCGCGGATTTCTTGGATCCGCGCTGGGCCCTCCTTGCGGCGCCTTTGGCGCCGCCCCTAGCGCGCTCCGCGCGCCAGGGAGGGCAGTCCCAGCGCAGATCCAAGAAATCCGCGCAGAGCGCCACACGTTTATGTGTGTGTGGCGCTGCCTCCTCCTCCTGGCTCAGGAGCGCTGACGGGGGGGGAGTGGCCTGGGAGGGGGGCCCTGGCATCGCTCGGACGTGTGTACTTTTTTTCTCGGCGAGGACCCGTGAGGCACACCCTGGACCATCGAGCGAAAAAAACACACACGAAACCGAAGAATGCACGGGAAGTGGACGTCCGAGCGACGGCAAGGGGTGCATCGGCGCCCGACCGCCCGTTCGTCGCCGGTGGGGCCCCGACAGCCCCGACAAACCCCCGCCCAGGAGCGCGGCGGCCTCGCAGCCGTGGGCCCCTCGCCGATCTGCCCGTGGCGCCCCGTCGACTCCACAGGTCCTCGTGTCCGCCGCCTCCGAGCCGGCCCTCCCCCCCCTCCTCCTCCTCCTCCTCCTCCTCCTCCTCCTCCTCCTCCTCCTCCTCCTCCTCCTCCTCCTCCTCCTCCTCCTCCTCCTCCTCCTCCTCCTCCTCCTCCTCCTCCTCCTCCTTCCTCCTCCTCCTCCTCCTCCTCCCCTCCTCCTCCTCCTCCTCCTCCTCCTCCTCCTCCTCCTCCTCCTCCTCCTCCTCCTCCTCCTCCTCCTCCTCCTCCTCCTCCTCCTCCTCCTCCTCCTCCTCCTCTCGTCCCGCTTCGCCGGCGGCTGCCGGCGTCGCCGCAGCCGTGGTCCGTGCGGGGGGCAGGGGCCGCCTGCCCAGCAGCGTGCGCTGTCGCTTCTGGGCACCGCCTGCTGCTGGACGTCGTCCCCGTTCATGGCGTCAGCATCGCAGAGCGGACTTCGTTCGGATTTCAGTAGGATGGACCCGGAGAGTACCTAGATCATTTTTTCGCTCCGGAGTTCGGGATGAGTGTCGCGCGGGTTTTTTGGGGGGGCCAGGAATGATCTAGAAAAAACCCACGCGAAGTTCACTTCGTTTTTCACTCGCCATTTCGGGGTCTTGATTGGCAGAAGCCCACGCGCAAATCCGCTGCAGCACGTCTGCAAGGTCGGGGCAACGACATCTTTCTCGTCCCAGCCTCTCGGGCGTGCCAGTCATGGGGTGTCGCCCCTCCGATCACGTTGGAGTTGGTACAGCCAGGATGCCTCGGCGGGCCTGTCCGGCGGCATCCCTGCATGCCGCGAGCGGCCCATGGGGGCGGCGCCCCCTGTGTGCGTCGGAGTCTCAGACAAAGTCTTGCGGCTTCGATTCGTTAATGTCGCCTAAATGAGGCCGGAGTCGCATGCGTTTGGGAAGGGGGGGGTCGACCTTTTGGGCCGATGGATTGTAGGGACAGCCTGCGATTGCGATTGCGGCTTTGATGTGATGCCAATGATGTTCTCTACGATTTCGGGATCCGTCGCTTGCACGAACCGCGCATGCACGACATGCTCGTGGTCACGCGTGATCTCGAGCTGGAGGCAGTGGAAGCATGCCGAAGTTACGATGCGTCTCATAACTGTCGCATTATGAAGTCCTGAATCGCGCCATATCAGCATTCCTAGAGCCTCAACACCGCGAATCAACGTGCTGTGACAATCCAACATCGGCAAACACATAATTCCTGGTGCGTCAACCAAAATGATATCTGAAATAGTTATAAACTCGTAAGACGAATGCGCGCGGCGTGAAGGCGACCACCACATGTTGAAAAGGTACCGCCCTTCATGCGTGAAATTCCTGCAAACTCTTAGGGCGAATTTGCGCATCGCTCAGGCGAAAGCCTCATTTTGAACAGGAACCGCCCTCCATCGCCAAACTCTCGTAAATGTGTTAAGACGAACGTGCACAGCGCCGAGGCGAGAACCACAGTTTGACAAGGTACCGCCCTCCAGGCATTCGTGAAATTCCTGCGATCTTTTCAGGGGAATTTGCGCATCGCTGAGGCGAAAGCCTTCCTTCGAACAGGAACCGCCCTCCATCGCCAAACCCTCGGACACTTTTTTCAGACGAGCGTGCGAAGAGCCGAGGCGAGAACCGCAGTTTGACGAGGGACGGGCCTCCGTCCGTGAAGCTCACACAGGTTTCAAGCTTGAGGGTCATAAGTGCGCGCCCGGCCCGCCCCGCCAACCCGCCTCTGGGTGCGACAGGGAGGGGCGACTGACAGGGGAAGCAAGGATGGAGAAAACGGAGGAGGAGGAAGAGGAGGCAGAGGAGGAAGAGGAGGAGGACGACACGCGCCCTGCACCCCGCCCAGCCTCGGCGGCGAGCCCAGGGGGGGAAGTGAGCAGGGACCCGCCTTCTCAGAAGGCTCGGAAAGCCTGCAGCCTTCTGAGAAGTTCTCTATAGGCCCTCCCCGAAGGCGCAGAAAACACCTTCTCTCGGAAGGCGCGAGGGCTCCTGAGCAGTCCCGCCGCCTCCCGAGAAGGCCTCCTCCTTCTCACTTCCCCGCTTCGCTCGCCGCCGCCGGCCGCCCCCTGGCGCCGCGTCGCCGCCCCGCCCCGGCCAGGCGTGCGAGGAGCAGGTCTTCGCGCCGACGGGGGCGCCAGGCGCCTGCACGGCGCGCGCGCGCGCATCGGGGAGGGGCGGGGTGCCGGAGGCGACGATCGGGGCGAAGAGCCCAGGGGGCCTCGCCGAAGGCATGGGCCATCGGCGCCCCGTGGGCCCAGAGATCTGATGCCCCGACAATTCTCTTAGCGAAGGACCCAACCATATGCAGTTGTGAGTACTGCAAGTGTGAGTTTTTTCTTCGGTTGCGCCCACGAGCCGTATGAGGGGCGTGCCGAAATGTGGCGGGGTACACAACACGAAGGGAAACGATTGGTCGAACTACGAGAGACTGAGCGCGGGTGAATCTGAGCGCGAGTGAGTAAGTGTGAATGAGTCTGCGCGCGAGCGAATATATTTGCACGAATAGGATCATGGCTACGCCTCGTGTATATGCATATTAATGTGAATGGTTCGGGTATGCCTGTCTGTGCACTCGTGACACTGAGCGTGGCCGCCGCAAAAAGCTTCCGAGGATCGCGCCCGCTTCCTTCCCTTTTTCTCCTCCCTCTTTGCCCGCGCACTCCAAAGTCCGAAGCTGCGGGCGCAGCGCGGCGCAGAGTCCCCGCGACGCGCGCCGGTCGCCCCGGAAAGAGTGTGCCGAAATGGGTGTGGGGGACGATTGCGGGCGGTGGCGCTGGGGCTTTCGGTGGAGCTCCCTGTGGGGCCACGAAACGTGTGAGGGGTGTGCCGAAATGGGTGTGGGGGACGCATGCGGGCGGTGGCATTGGGGCTTCCGGTGGAGCTCCCATATGGAGCCATGAAGCGTGTGAGGGGTGTGCCGAAATGGTTGTGGGGGACGCATGCGAGCGATGGCACAAGGGCCTTCGGTGGAGCTCCCTATGGGGCCACGCAGCGTGTGAGGGGTGTGCCGACATTGGGCGTGGGGGACGCATGCGGGCGGTGGCCCATCTGGAGCCACGAAACGTGTGAGGGGTGTGCCGAAATGGGTGTGGGGGACGCATGCGGGCTGTGGCACTGGGGCCTTCGGTGGAGCTCCCTGTGAGGCCACGAAGAGTGTGAGGGGTGTGCCGACATGGGCGTGGGGGACGCATGCGGGCGGCGGTACTGGTGCCTTCGGTGGAACTCCAGATGGGGCCACGAAACGTGTGAGGGGTGTGCCGACTTGTGTGTGGTGGGGGCGCATGCGGGCGGTGGCACTGGGGCATTCGGTGGAGCTCCATATGCGGCCACGAAACGTGTCACGGGTGTGCCGATATGGGTGAGGGGGACGCATGCGGGCGGTTGCACTGGGGCCTTTGGTTGGGTTCCCTATGGGGCCACGAAGCGTGTGAGGGGTGTGCCGAAATGGGCGTGGTGGACGCATGCGGGCGGTGGCACTGGGGCTTTCGGTGGAACTCCATATGGGGCCACGAAACATGTGAGGGGTGTGCCGGCTTGTGTGTGGGGGACGCATGCGAGCGGTGGCACTGGGGCCTTCAGTGGAGCTCCTTACGGGGCCACGAAGCGTGTGAGGGACGTGCCGAGATCGGTGTGGGGGACGCATGCGGGCGGTGGTACTGGGGCCTTCGATGGGGTTCCCTAAGAGGCCACGAAACGTGTGAGGGGTGTGCCGGCATGGGTGATGATGCTGGTGCGGTCGTGATGATGATGAGGATGATGATGGCGATGATGATGATGATGATGATGATGATGATGATGATGATGATGATGATGATGATGATGATGATGATGATGATGATGATGATGATGATGATGATGATGATGATGATGATGATGATGATGATGATGATGATGATGATGATGATGATGATGATGATGATGATGATGATGATGATGATGATGATGATGATGATGATGATGATGATGATGATGATGATGACGATGATGATGATGATGATGACTGATGCTGCTGATGCTGATGCTGATGCTGATGCTGATGGTGATGGTGATGATGATGATGATGACGGGAGGAGAGAAGAAGGGCCGGAGGAGGAGGAGGAGGAAGAGGAGAGGAGGAGGAGGAACGCGAGGCGACGTCTCTTCAAAACGAGGACAAATGAGCGGCGGTATTGGGGCCGCTTTCGGGTTCCAGGGGCCCGCGCTGGAAGAACGACTCAGGATGACGACGACGACGACGACGACGACGGACACGGACGACGACGACGACGACGACGGACACGGACACGGACACGGACGACGACGACAACGACGGACACGGACGGCGACGGCGACGACGACGACGACGACGGACACGGACGACGACGGACACGGACGACGACGACGACGACCACGACGACGATGACGACGACGACGACGACGACGACGGACACGGACGACGACGACGACGACCACGACCACGACCATGACCACGAAGACGACCAGTCGCTGGTCGAGACCCTTTGGAGTCGATTTTTCACGGCGTCGACTCCCAAGGGTCTCGACCCATTCCCCGGGACCAGCTTCTCATCCTGCGTATGTTTTCCGAACCATCGAGTGGTGTTGGTTATTCGTTTTGAAGAGACGGTCCTCGCGTTCCTTCCTCTTCCCCCCCTTCCCTCCTCCCATCCCTGCTTCCTGCTTTCCGCTTCGTGGCCCTCGAGGGAGCTCCACCGAAGATCCCACTGCCACCGCCCGCCCAGCACAGGGCTTCGTGGCTCCATAGGAAGCTCCACCGAATGTCCCACTGCTACCTCCCGCATGCGCCCCTACCATCCAGTACAGCGCTTCGTGGCACCATAGGGAAAGCTCCACCGAATGCCACACAGCTACAACCCGCATGCGTTCCCACCACCCAATACAGCGCTTCGTGGTCCCAGAATGGGGGTTCCACCGAAGGCGCCAGTGGCACCGTCCGCATGCGCTTCCCACCTCCCAGTACAGCGCTTCTCGACCCCGTGGGGAGCTCCACCGACGGCCTCAGTGGCAAGGTCCGCATGCGTCCCCCCCCCACCCAGTACAGCGTTTCGTGGCCCCGTAGGGAGCTCCACCGCAGGTCCAAGCGCTACCACCCGCATGCGCCCCCCCCCCACCAGGTACACCGCGTCGCGGCCCCATAGGGAGCTCCACCGACGGTCCCAGTGGCACCGTCCGCATGCGTTTCCCCCACCACGTACAGTGCTTCGTGGCCCCATAATGGGGGCTCCACCGAAGGCGCCAGTGGCACCGTCCGCATGCGCTTCCCATTCTCTGTGCAGCGCTTCGTGGACCCATAGGACGCTCCACCGACGGCCCCACTGCTAGCTGCTACCTCCCGCATGCGTTTTCCCTCCCAGTACAGCGCTTCGTGGCCCCACAGGGAGCTTCACAGAAGGCCTCAATGACACAGTCCACATGCGTCTCCCCCACCAAGTACAGCGCTTCGTGGCCCCATGCGGAGCTCCACCGAAGGCCATAGTGGCAAAGTCCACATGCGTGTCCACCATCCATTCCAAAGTTTCGTGGCCAATAGAGAGCTCCACCGAAGGCCCCAGTGGCAAAGTTCGCATCCGTCTCCCCCACCCAGTACAGCGTTTCGTGGCCCATAGGGAGCTCCACCGAAGGCCCCAGTGGATCCGTTCGCATGCGTCTCTCCCACCCAGTACAGCGTTTCATGTCACATAGGGAGCTCCACCAGAGGCCCCAGTGGCGGTGTTCGCATGCGTCTCCACCACCCAGCGCAGCGCTTCGTGGCCCATAGGGAGCCCCACTGAAGACGATACCCGCAGCTGCGGCACTCACAGCTGCATATGGTTGAGTTTCTTCGCCGGGCTGACTCTTATCTTCGTCCTCTTCTTTGTCCTCTCCCTTTTCCTCCTCCTGCTCGTCTTGCGCCTCTTCCCCGCTCTGATCCCCTGGGATAGCCCACTTCTGAGGCGGCTGGCCCATAAAGGGCGACCACAGGTTGTTCGGCGCGGGCGGCCCTTCCCCTCCCCCTCCCCCGCACGACCCTGTGCCTGGTCCAAAGGTCCGAGAGGTCCTCGCTCTGATCCTTTCCTGTTCCTCCTCCTCTTCGTTTTCCTTCTCCTGCTCATCTTTTGCCTCCTCCTGCTCATCTTGCGCCTCTTCCTCGCTCTGATCCCCCTTCCCATCCTGCTGCAGCCAGCAGCTGCGCGGGAGGCGTGGGCTGAGGCCCTGACTGAGGCGCCCCTGCCCAGAGACTCGGAGGTGGATAGACCTCCTACCCTGACACGTCGATCAGTGAATTGGCCGTTTTCGGTTCGCGAGAGGGCGTCGCGGCCGTCATTTCTGCGGGTCCAGGTCCGTCGGTTTCGGCCCCAGGTCGTTTTCACTAAGGGGAGGTTTGCTAAAGGGAGGTTTGTCCACCGCCGAGAGACGTTGACGGCGCGCACACTGCACTCGTCCAGCGCAGGGCGAGCAGGGATCGGAGGCCTCCGCAGGCCTCCGACGCCGTGTGCAAGACGTGGGGCCCGGAGCTCCCGACGCCATCCCCGGGGATCATTCTCGAGACAGAAGGCCGCCTGCCCAACAGCGGCCGCTGTTGGTTTGGGACAACATTTGTTGTTGGGCACTGTACCCCAGATTTCGTAATAAAGGGAGGGGGGTCTCATTTCGGGGGGGGTCTCTTCCAGGCTATCTTGGAGGGCCTGGGGTGGTCTGGGGACGATGTTTTGGAGGGTTCTCCCACGCGGAGGGGTCTGAAATGGCTTGTCTTGGAGGGTCCAGACCCCCTCCCTTTTATTACGAAATCTGGAGTATCCATTTTTGTCCGTACCCATTTCGGGCGTCCGAGTTGACGGCGCGCACACTGCACTCGTCCAGCGCAGGGCGAGCAGGGATCGGAGGCCTCCGCAGGCCTGCCTCCGGCGCCGCGGCTGGTCAGGACGTGGGGCCCGGAGCTCCCGACGCCATCCAGGAGGGGAAAAAACATACAGACACAATGAAGTGTCGATTCCCAGGCATACGTGGAAAAATATGGGAAGTGGGGGGGAGGATAAAAACCCCGGAAATATGGGAAGGTATGGGGAATCCTGTTATTTGTATCTATTTGTGTGTCCCAGGGCCCCTTCAGCCATCCCCAGGATCATTTTCGACGCCCGGTATCGGTGCCTGATGGCCCACGGGGCCCGAAATCGGTTGCCA